TTTAAAAAACCTAATTTAAAGCCTTTGCCGAATAAGATGATTCATTTTGTACACTGATGAATAAGGTATGTAAGATATTCTTTGTAMAGAATTATTCATACGTTTGATATAACAAAAATAAACAACACTTCAAAACTTTTTGCAAACATTTATTCATAAAATATTACATCTGAATTCATTGATTCTTTACATAGAATTTTATTATATTTACATATTTATTTACAATTAAATCAATTATAGTATGATATGTTTAACGTGAAATGCAAGATTTTCTCATTCTTCTCATGGGTCTTCTTCCAAATGCTGCGATAAAAACAAAACAATATTACAATRATAACGGCTGCGACGTTGAACAACAGAGGAACTTACCGTTGGAGGGAGGAGGCGTTGTTGGAGGGCTTGGTAGATAAGTCGTAGCTGGTTTCTTGCTGATTGCTGTAGAACAACGCCTATTTCTAAGCTCTGAATCTCCGATAGGAAGGTCCCCAGTCTTGGGTACAGCAGGTAGGCGTGGTGCCAAGGGGCATGTYCTTTTGGTCGTTCCGGGGCTTGAACGTGAAGAACAACTTGAYCCCTTATTAGGTGATGCTGTGGATGAAGAAGGCACTAACCGACGGCGGTTGTTGGTCACTTTGGGGCTTGAGAGTGATGCAGTCGATAGCCTCCCCGATGATGAAGTGGGTGGGTGTGGAAGCAACGAATTTGGTTTCTCATTAACCATCTTTCCACTGTCTTTGGAATTTCGCGAACTAAACCTTGACGAACGCCCAAGAGAATCTGTGTCAGGCGAGGGCAATTCCAACAAACATGGTGTCTTCCTGAAAGCTGTTCCAAATTTTCTCTGTTTCCCAGAAATACTTAGATCTGAATCATAGCGACTGTAATGCAGCTTTGATCTGTACTCCAGGGACGAGTTGGAGATTTTCCTGTTCCTTGAAGGGCTAACGGTCTTTGTTAATTTCATGGAGTTGGAAGTGACTGGCCGTTTTAGATTTGTGGAAGGCGACGAGGACAAACACTCGGTGGTTTCATAGAAGCCTGAAATGCTCACACCCGATTCTAAATACTTGGGATAATCGAGCCTCTGCTCAAGGGCAGACCTCGGGGGCTTCCTRATCCCCAATGGGCTGATTGTTCGTCTTAATGTCCTTGGATTTGAAGTWGCTAAGCGCCTTAGACCTGATGTCAGGATGCATTTGGTATTTGCCTTGTTGCAGTCTAAAGATAAAGAAGAGTTGCCGACTGACGATGAA